TTGTAATTTGTAAAATTTTTATACATCTAATCTTCTTATTCTGTTAAAACAGTTTACTATATCTTTAGGGCATTCAGACCTATCATGGCAGCAAGTTTATGACCCAAATGAAGCCAATTGCTATGTAATGCCACTTTATACTATAAGAATAACAGAAAAAAAAATGGTACAAGGCATTGTTATTATCTCTACCAGCATAGCAGAAGCGTCAGTGAGGGCTAACTTTCTGAAACAAGGGGAACACAAGGTGAATAATATTTTTTTTAGAAACAGTGCAGCAACAGGGTCTGTGATGAAAAGTGCACAGGGCATCAAAGACATAAATCAAAGTCTTTCTTTGCAATAAAAATAATGCTCGTATAATTCTGTGGGAGATGAGTGACCCAGACCTGTTGGGGATTTTATTTTTATTTAATATGCTCGTGTTGCTTTTGCACTCCAGAAATCCAGGGATTTTCAGGAATGCAAGAATCTACAATGTACCATTGAAAAATAGTATGCAAATTGTTCAGCTGTCATACGCATATAACCTCGCATGATAAGAAGAATATTTGTGTGTGAAAAACATGCCTTTTTCTCTCTTTTACCATGAAATTACATCTGAAGAGAATGAGAGTTTGTAAAGTACTCATCAGGAGTTACAGAGTTGGCTGAGCATGTAAGGACAATCATTGGTAATCTTTCAGGAACATGTCACTTTAACTACCATGCCGTGCTTCATAATGACTAAAACTGATCTCCTGTTCAGTGAGACTTACCTGTTAGTTATATCCCGTTTATAGGTTCAAGCATGTTTTGAATCAGGGATAAGCTAATTATGTGCTTGTCCCTTCCCTCTTGTAAAATCACACTGGACATTTAGGTAATCATGTAACCTACAGTATTACAGACTTTCTCATGTCTTTCTTTAGGACTGAAGCACAATGATAGAAATTTTACCATAGATAGATAAATTGTTCTAGTTAGGAATAATTATGGAATAGAACTGGAAGTAGTAAACAAATATGTGGCAGGCAGATGATGCTTTATGTTCACTAAAAGAATACTTGAATTTAAATTATTCTGAACATCAAAAGCCAGGTGTTCAGATAGTACTCATGAAAAATCAAGTCAGATAATAATTCAGTAGGGTACATCTTAATCCCACCTGTAATAGAGATACTCTGGAGACTAATATACAATTTTCAGCCCCTGTGAAATGATAATCAACAGCAAAATCAGCAAAATTAAGCAAACAAGAATAGTATGAGCCATTTATTTTCCCTCCATTTGCTAAAGAGAAGTCGGAACTTAGGAAGGTTCCTAACCTCAGTTTAATAGCTACAACTGAACTGTGGATTTTCTTAAATGTTCTTCTGTCTCATTTCTTTCTGCTCTGTTAATTATTTAGACTAGATATGACTGGTAATAGAGTTAACCAGTTCATGCAATCCAATCTGATAATCTGCATGTCAACTCTGCAGTTTTGCTCTGACATGTATCCACCTAACATGATGGGGATCTTCCATGCTTTTTTCTACCCAGTTATAATTTTGAACCAGAATGGTATAATATAGTATTCTCTGAGCACATCCAAAGACTGATTTCTATGAATTCATCCAGTATGATCCCACTTGACAATCTACAAACTTAATCAATAGAGTTACACATTAGTAATTACTCATTAGAAAAGTTCCATCTATATTGAGATTTGCACACATCAATTTATTATTTCATTTTCATGCATGCCAAGAGAAATCCATTTACCTTTCTGAAGCATCATTTTCACAGACAAGGTTAATACTAATTTAATTCACTTTAACTGTAATCTAAATTAAATGTCTCCAAGAAAATGAAGAATCAGAGAAGCTTCTCATGAAATCCAATCAGATTCCTGCTGTTTCAGCAGTACAGCTTTATCAAATGGTGGTAGTTAGCAATATTGCTTTCTTCTGTCCACACTGTTAGTTTGGGGAGAATGCTGCCTTCTTATCTGGGCTAAAATTATTGGAGCAACCATCAAATGATTAAACTACAAGTCTTGGTCCAGTACCCAGGATCTACACCCACTTGGCCATTAAGGGATAGACATATACAAATACAGACACATATCTATACCGATGCAGATTATCTATGTCTCTAGATCTATATATACTTCTGTCCAGGTAGATATTTATAGATCTAGGTAGCTATCCATATAGATCTAGATATCTATATATAGATAGATTTATGTATTATCTATATCTAGATGCCTTTATCTATCTAGATAGATATAGATGTCTATATAGAGCTAGTTGGCTAGATATCTGTGTATATATTAGGAGATATCTGGATATCTGTATCAGTTTCTACATATATCTAGATATAGTGGGTAGATAGATTTAGATATCCAGATATCTAGGTATTTTTATCTATAGCTAAGTCTGTCTGTATTTATATCTATATGTGTTTCTCTTGCAGGTCTCTTCACCATGGAGGAGGAAGTGGTGTCAGAAAGCCCTTTAAGTATCAGTGTTTTGTTTGAGTATGGCAGGGAACAGATCTCCCAGTTCATTCTGAATCTGGATTCAGAGCCAGGGTTTTGTTCTTTAGGACAGGAGGAGAATCAGGATTGTCATCAACTGCTTCACCTGGAAAAGGAAATAATTCATGATGAAAAAAAGATGAATTTGCTGTTTTCTGATCTCTTGCTCTCTGGGTAACATCAATTACTGTACTGCATTTCTACAGGGAAGATAAGCCACGTAAAAGCCAGGTCCCTTTTTTTGGAAGTGCAGCTTGGGAATGAGTCTCTGATGGCAACTCAGGTTGCTGATGAATGTGATATAAGCTAACCAGTAAGTTAATCATCCTTAGAATGCTGACAAGTCAAAACAACCATGTTGCAGCAGTGTTTAAGCATGGTGGGTTTAATGAAAAAGGCACAAATCTGAAGGTAAAAGTGAAATCAGGAGCCTATGCTCTAGCCCTTCACAGAACACTTTTCATGGTGGTCTCTTTTTCTCTCACTCTCTCCCCATCAGTAACCTGTCCCAGTAGTTAGCATGAAGCCCATGGGACTGCAGACATTTTTTGTTGAGTTCTGACTGACAGCTGATAACTGTAATGTGCCAGTCTAATAATGATATGAGATCCTCTTCAGGGATTGTTAAATAGCATCTCAGGGTTGTGCAACATCAGGTTATTAAACCTGAACAAACAAACCCAACTGATTGAGTCAGACTAGAGAATTAGATATTTTTCCATTCTTCATGCACACACATAGCAGCATCATCAACACTAATTGGAGATGTGCATGCAGATGTGACTGCAGAAGTGACTGCTTGCTGTATGCCTCTGTTAAGTTATTCATAATGCTGAGGAAAGAAATTCCTTGCAGTTTTCACTAACAGAATATAGTTTGCATTCTCCTTAAACCAAAAGTGGCAAAGCAGTGAATTTTTTATTTAATATGGTTTTGTCAAAGAGATGGTGGGCTTCAGAACACTGAAAGAATGGACTTTCAGTGTAAAATCAGAATCATATTTAAAGAATTATTGGTGCAAAACAACCCTAAAGCATATCTAAAAGATTATACACAGCTGGCTTAGCAAATATACACATAGATACAATTATAATGAGTTCTGTGGTTTACTGCACATTTTCCAGGCATGAACTGTCTTTTTCCTCCATCCCTCTGCTAATCTACTTGATTGTCCTCTTCTTTTCTCTGTGTAGAAAATCATCCGATCAACATAATCTTAACACTGGTTTTGTAGTTGAAACCCTCAGACTTCAGACAGCATCTTCCCTGTCTATCGTGAATACAGTTTCATCTTGTCATTATAGTGCTGCATCACTTGTTTCCTACTGCTCTTGTCCTCCAGTGCTGTGAAGAATAACACTGTATGCTTGTAATGGGAATGCAGGCATGCCTTTGGGCCTGCTCTCTTCCAAGTCTGAACATTTCTGGTCCAGAAATAGCATATGTAAAAGAGATATTACTTTTTTCTCGAACATTACTCTGTTGTAAGAGACACCTGTCAGGCTGTGGCTAGGAGTGGGATGGGAGCTGGTGGTGAATGAGGCTGACAGGGCTCCCTGGCAGGGCACGGCCCCACAATACACAAATGAGGTGACCATAGGCACTTGCATGCCAGACAGATCCTGGGAGGCTGGGGAATATCCTCATGGCTCTGACTGTGCCACAAAGAGCCACTTGTGCCACATGGTGTGCTTGGAAAGCCTTTAGGGTGGAGAGCCCAAACACCCAGTGACAGCTAAACAATCCTGCAATTGCTCACCCTCCAGAAAACCCTGACTTTTTCATCTCATGCTGTGTACTGCACTTATAATATTTTGTAATGTCCCCTGCTTGATCCCTTCCCTTAAAAAGTAATGCAGTTGAATAGAGCTAATAAAGGGAGAAATTCCTAAACAGTTCAATCACATTTTTATAATCCATCCTTCCTTTTTACTAATTTTTATGTCACCAGGCAACTGAAGCAGGCTCTCTCCAAACCCCGTCTGACTGCACCATGATCAACTTCCTTACCTGCAAACTGGGTGACTTGGTTTTCCTTTCCAGTCCTTATCTGTCCAAAATTTTCAGGTTTCCTTTCTTTGAAAATTGCCATGGTTTGACTTTGCTTAGCTACCAAAAATAGCACTGCCTGACTGGATGACCTTGAGTGGAGCTGGCTGGCTTGTTACCAAGATATTTCCTTCCATGACTTGCATGGTCAGAGATACTTTTCATATTGAACTGGTCATAATGATGAGTCAGTTATTACTGCTTGGAACAAAGTTGGTTTTGCAAGGTCATTCTTAACGAGAAAAATTAAATTGTTTATTCTGTGAGTGCATTTGCATCCATCCCATATTCAACTGAGCTAAACATTTATTTTCATAGGTATATTATTGAGCAACTGTGTTATTTTGAGATCCTCTTTTATACATCAAAATGTGGGGTTTGGTAAGAGACTGAAAAATAAACGGTCTGAGATAAGAGACCTCACTTGGAGTACTGTGTACAGTTCTGGTGTCCTCAATATAAAAAGGACATGGAACTGTTGGAACAAGTCCAGAGGAGGGCCATGAGGATGATCAGGGGACTCTAGCCCTCACCTTATGAAGAAAGGCTGAGAAAGTTGGGGCTGTTCAGCCTGGAGAAGAGAAGGCTGCGTCAAGACTTCATCCAGTACCTGAAATACCCCTTCAGTATCTGAAGGGGGCCTATAAGGATGCTAGGGAGGGACTCTTTGTTAGGGACTGTAGTGATAGGACAAGGGGTAACGGGTTCAAACTTAAACAGGGGAAGTTTAGATTGGATATAAGGAAGAAGTTCTTTACTGTAAGGGTGGTGAGGCACTGGAATGGGTTGCCCAGGGAGGTTGTGAATGCTCCATCCCTGGCAGTGCTCAAGGCCAGGTTGGACAGAACCTTGGGTGACATGGTTTAGTGTGAGGTGTCCCTGCTCATGGCAGGGGTTTGGAACTTGATGATCTTAAGGTCTTTTCCAACCCTAACTATTCTACAATTCTATGATTCTATAAGTATTAATTAGATATTTTTAAGTGAAAATTAATGAAAACCTTGGAAGGCTTTTTTGTGGGGCCTGGAGGTAATTTCTGATAGTTCATATGAAACACTGTAGGAGGGAGTTTTATGCTAAGAATATTTACAACATTAGATGACATTTAACATACTAAATAACTATGCATGCTCCATGTATTTTTACTTATAAGACTAATATCTCTTCAGTAACATTTCTCTTTGACCTGACAAAAATATTTTTCAACAAACTAAAGCAAGCAAAGTTTTGCTAAGTGATATCTTTAGCTTATGTGGTACATGCCATGGCAGGGGGGTTGAAACTAGATGATCTTAAGGTCCTTTTCAACCCTATTCTATGAATCTACGATTCTGTGACAATTGTTATGGAGAGAGAATGCCTCTACATGCTGGGCAAATGCTGAGCAGTCTGAGAAACAAGAGTAGTACGAATGCAACCGTTCCTGCCTACGTAAACAAGGCAGTACGCTCATCCTCTAAGGCTATCTGGAAATGAGCTCTATCCATTTGTTTAATGAAGCCTCAAGAACGAAGAAGTTTAAATGCAACTAATTAATTTTAAAACCCTGTAATTAAAAGTATTATAGCAGTGATCTAATTTGGGAGAGCAGTAATCAATATGGAAGGAGATCAGCTAGAGTGCAGCCAAAGATACCATCAGAATCTACTGAAGATATGAAAACCTCCAGGAATACCTTCAACAGAGTTTGGATAATGGCTCATGGTATTGAAATCAGTGACAGTGTTTTGTTTGTAACTTAGGAAAGATTAGTGTGCAGTTATCAACAAATTAGGCTTTTAATAATAAATAAGGCTTTGGAATGATAAATCCTGGGTTTGATCCCTGTGTTCTTTCTCTGTGGGGTAGAGAGGAAGAAGAGAGAAAAAAAACAATCCTGTAACAGGTATGGACTATGGAAAAGTTACCCTGGAAGATATATTTCACCCTGAAAACTTACACAGTTAAAGCTGAATATATATGATGGTTTGAGGTTAAGTGAATGTAGTATAAATATTTATACTACACCTTCACATTATACATTTTTTATACAGTACATGGGCAAAATGCCCTGATAGAGAACATTTTGTAAGGTACTATGAAAGACTAAAACTTGTAGCCTTTTTTCTAGTTTAAGTTATCATACTTCAGTCAAATGTAAAAAATGCATGATGTAACAGTTGTGGGGTTATGAAGAGGGCTGATGTAAAAACGTATCAGGCAAAGGTAGAAACCCACTTAATTCTGCATTGAATCTTCTACCTGAGTAATGGTTTATCTATGGCCACTCTAGCAGAGCTTTATTTTAATGACTGGTGCTCTATTGCTAAACAACATCCCCAGGTTATCTTAACTATCCTCAGTTAAATTAATCGAATATTGATGACCATGAATTTGGACTTGAAAATATGGCGGAGAAACTTTAGCAAAGAGAAAAGCGGATTGCACGTGAATGGAGAAATTCATCATAATGTCACTGAATACCTGGGGAATGGAGTTCAAGCTGATTTATTACAACACCATTTTTCATTTTTACTGGACACTGATTGGGCTTGGGGTAAAGCAATCTCATCATGATCTCCAGTCAAGCAGTGATAGCGACACTGCTACTTCACAGGCATATTCTTTATAGGTTTTGTACTGCTGCTAGGTAACACAGAGCTTTTCAAGGCTGTCAGCTCTCTTGGTATATACTTCACAGCGTTCAGAGCTGAGAGACTGTAGCAAAAACCACAGCAGAGAAATGTCTTGAGAATTTCAGCAATAGGGAATGTGTGACTACTTACAGGATAATATAGGCTGCATCATGAACAGAGAGTGCCGTGCATCCAGAAGTCCTGAGGCAGGTCCCCTCTGATGATGAGGTGCACTTAGAAATGTGAGATTTTCAACAATAAATAAGGATCTTTCTCAGCTTCAGGATACCAAAACCTCACAAAATTTAAAATAAATGCAATAGTGTCAAAACTGCAGATTCACAGAACTTGTTTTTTCCAGTCAGCTGTGCTAGGAAACATTGGAAGCAGGTGTCAAATACAGGAGCAGAATATCCATCCTTCAGGCTAGCAGTCATAGAGTAACCACTGTGCTCTCCCTTCTCCATCTTTGTTGAAGTCCTTGGCTCTAGAACTGATGTGAGTGAAGAGATGAATAAAGGCAGTTGAAGTTAGTGTACCAGATTATGAACTTCAGTAGCTGAGGACTCAATCCCTGATGTTTCCAAACCCCTTATTATGAGAGAAAAGTGGATGAAAAGCTGTAATATCTTCAACTGCTTCTGGTTTTTGTGTTGTAGCTTGTCTGCAAAAACTTGATGGCATGTACCTTTCCATCCCTTGCTGCTTGCATGGCCATGGTCATTTTGGGGATGATGCTGATTTTTTTTTTTTTTTTTCTGGAAGAAAGGCAGATGCTGGGACCTAAGTGAGAAGGGAACATGTCTCCTCTGAGCCTCCATGCATGGCTCCTCAGGGCAACTCCAGTTGGCAGCAGGTGATAGTCCATTACCTCTTACACTGGAGCGCCTGCCTGGCAGCAGGCAGGAGCAAAACTCTTCCATGTGATTTCTGATATTTCCCTCATACAGAGCCCCTTTCTTATTAGAGTCTGCAGTTACTGTTTTTCTTTCTGATTAAAATATGCTCTTGGGAATACAGGCTATTTGTGCTGTGTTCTTAATAACCTTTCTACTGCATGGTGGGGGTGAAATGTCAAGACTGATAAATACCATGAAGTGAACCCCCAAAAGACAAGCTTGGATACCACATCGTTATTTTTGCCAGGCAGGGTAGTTTGGCCAAGCTGTTAAGGGTATTGATTCACATAACTATAAGCAATTTAAGTATGTGCGCAAGATTTTTTGTCCGATGTTAGATCTCTTTCTCTGGAAATTTAGAACATCACATGTTCCTTACCTTAAATTAGGTGCTTTTGTGAGAACTTCAGATTTTAAGTACTTTTCCATATTGCTTAGGTTCTTTTTTTACTGCCATTGAAATGATAGTATTTTCTCAACAATTGACTAGTTTTTCTCAGCCCTTTGGTTTTCAAATTAATGCAGAGGGTAGATTTCATCTAGTAACAGAGGGAAGTATGTTATTAAATGTTATCATTTAGTATTTTCGCTGGCTTTTAGTGGCATGAAAAGGAGAAGGTAAGAGATTTGGAAGGCAGAGAAAAATTGATGGGTGAAGGAAAAACAATGGAGTGGCAAAGAAAGAGCAACAACTTAATTGGGACTTAAAGCAGAAAAAAAGACTATCTCTTACTGAAATATGGGGGACTGTATATATAAGGTGAGAAACTTGTTTGGAATGGTGAGTTCATGATGCTAATTGCATTTTAATTGTAACTCTGTAATGTACCTGAGATTTATTTTGGTTTTGTTTTCTTTGCCTAGCAATGAAATTAGGTAGGTGTGATCACTTGGAGCTGGATTCCCTTTGTCTTTTTACTTAGCATATAAAAATAATTTTCAGTGAGAGCCACAGTTTTGGGAAACTTTCATAATTTACCCATCTTCCAGATATGAATAAAACACTGAGAATGAGCTTTATGGAGATTAGACATCATTCTTTAATGCAGCAGTCTGGTCTGAAAGTCTCACGAATAATTTCAGACTGTTAAATCAGATTAGATAGTTTAGTCTATAAAATAAAAGCATTGAGAACATGGCCTTTTAGGGAAGGTGCATGGCTTCAGAGGGAAGTCCTGTCTCAGTAGCCTGCTCAAGTTCTTGGAGGGTGTCAGTGATCATGTCAATAAGCCCACAAGTAAAGGATTTCCCTGGTGAAATAAAGTGGAGTTTACCAAAGTTGTTGTTAAGGTTCCACACCAGAGGTTATTATGGAAACTAAGTTGCTATGGGTATGAAGTGAAACCTGGTAAAAAGATAGAAAGCAAATATCTGTCCTTAAAGATGACTTTTCTGGATTGCATCAGCAATTTGTTTTTAGAAATAGAGATAACAAGATATAATTGGGATGAAAAGAATTTTTCAGAGTTACTTTGCTCTTCTTCTAAACTACCAGCCTGTATTTTTAATGTCAGAGTGGCAACGATTTCAGAAAAAAAATATACATTAACTTTATAATGCTGTGCTTTCTCAAGAAAAATCTTCCATATTCTTTCTATCAGCAAAACTCTTCCCATATGTTTCTGTGAGATTTATGCTATCCCAGGCCACATCAAGTTGCATTTAGAAAAATAAGCCCTTTCTGGTTTTGAATCCAGCCCAAAATCAAAACCCAAGGAGATTTGAAGCTTAAAGTTTTCCTTCAACCTTGAATTTCAGGGACAAGAGGTGTTCAGTTTTAAGGTTATGATTCAGACCAGTTTCCACTGACTGCTTCCAGTCATTCTTAAAACTGAATTACACAGTTTAACAAAAAATCCCTACTCATTCAAAACAGCTTTTACTCATTTATTTTTTCCATTAGAAGAAAGAGAATCAATATGCAACCAAATGCACTGATGACATGGCAACCACAACATCAGCTAAGGTTTATAACACTATCCCAGCATTTCATAACAGAGGTTTTCTCTTGCTCCTGTTCAGGCTTGTAACAAAACTCCCAAGTGCTTCCACAAGTACAGAACAGGACTTGCAGCTGTTAGTAATGTTGAGGCAATGGGAAAAACAGACAGGAAGGAAGATATGAAGGTTACTTTTGCAAACATTTATTCAGGAGCTCATCACAGAGCTGAGGGAAAGCTTAAATACAAAATGGACATAGAAAAGCTAGGAGAAAGGACAGTAGCTTTCTACAGAGGTGAGACTGATTTTGTTAAGGGAAAGGGAATGAACTACAATATTCAAG